ATGATTATCAGTTAGCTTGGCTCTATCCAATGCCATTTCCCCTTGCTTCCAGTCTTGCTAAGTATGATGCTAAGCTACGCTAACCAAATCATGAATAGTACTATAGATCAGTGTTTCTCAAACTTTTTTCATACCAAGGACCACTTAACCAATAAAAAAACAATCACGGACCACCAAACTCCACAAATATCCAAAATCACATCGTTTTTCTAGAACAGATTACAAATCGCCTGAAAATGGTACAAACAGGTGGCAACATGTGTGATGAAGGTGTTGCGCTGGGCTATATCCTGCAATCAAAAGTTAAACTTAAGCTCGCTCCATTGCGGATATATTCCCGCGAGTGTGCGGAGAACTTAAATCAATTTATTTATTTCCAAATGTGAAATTGTACCAATATACTCACGGACCACTAGGGGGCGATCACGGGCCACCAGTGGTCCGCGGACCACACTTTGAGAAGCACTGCTATAGATCACATAATTTCTCTCTCAGAAAGAAAGCATGTAAGCTTATTTCCCAAAACTATTTCTGTAATAAAACAGTTATATAGATAGTGACAAAGTACCAGTAGTAGTTTAATTTGAATTAAAATGATTAAGATGTATCATTAAATAACTTGATGCAGGAACCTGTATGTATGACTTAAGTTTCACTCTCGGCTCTCTGGAAAGTTGTTTTAGGAAAAATGTTATCTTACATTTTATAGATCTGATTCTTAAACATAAAGTCCTTTTCTCTGTAAATTTAAAAACAAAAACAAATAATTGTCAATTAGCCAGAAAAAAGTAAAGAAAATCACCCTTTATGAGTCATTGAGTATCTATTTTGATTACAAATCATTTCTAAAATGTGTGGTTAGCTGATGGACTACCAAAGAAAAGTAGATAAATTGCACTAAAACACTATTATTGCTGTTACTAACTGTGTGTAAACAACCTTCTTGATCCGCACCAGTCTGGTTTCAAGGCAGGTCACTCCACAGAAACTGCTTTCCTCTCTGTCTCTGATGCCCCTTTCACACCAACGCGTTTTCAGCTCCGGCTCGGAGCTGGAGCCTGAAAAGTACCGTTTTTTCCTGTTCACACCGCAGCGGCGCCGCCTGTTAGCTCCGGAATCCGGTTCACTTCCAGCTCCAAATAATTGTCGGTCTAGAGGCAAGAGCTTCGGAGCTAAGAAGCGGCCTCGCTTACGTCGAGGCGTGCAGGAAACTAAACCCACCTCCCCTGAACATGGGTCGACTGAAGAGTCTCGTCATGCCTGCCTAAAAGCAGTAGTGCTGAGCAAAGTGACTAGAAGGCAACCACACACACACTTTATAAAAAAAAACACACTTTATAAAGTCAGGCAACAGTAACCAGGCTTCGTGTGATTCTGTTTATTTGTACCTTACTTTGACCATCCGTTTACTGTTATTGATCATTGTGGAGAGAGGCAGACGTTTTGTTTTGTATTATAGCAGCTATCGGATGGAATCAATACATGGGCTGCACAGGTTGTCGTGTCCGACTATCACAAATAGAATCATAATGAAAAATACGCCGATAAAATGTGCCTGTAGTAAACGGTTTATGCCACAATAGGATAGCAATAACAAGTAGTCAGTTTACCTTCGGTTGCTATGCTAACATCACCCGTTTTATACCACAGACACTTTAATAACAGCGTTGTGATGCCAAACAGCGTCAATTCAGACTGACACACATACTTAAGGGGAATTGGGGATATGTATCAGCTGCTTGTGTGACAGTCAGACAGTGAATACTTTAGAGGGCCGCTGCAGTGTGAGCTAACCCGGAGCTAACGGGAGAATAAACTCCAGTGGACGAGCAGCACTGCAGCGGTCGGTAAATGCCGCTGAAACACATTAATAAACAATGAACCACGGCACTCTGGAGAAAAGTATAAGCTTGGAGAAGTCGTTATTTAATTTAAATCTGACTTCGTATGATTAAAAGCAACACGATCATCGACCCAACGCAGAGCGCCGTTGGGGAGCAAATCAGCGATGTAAACGGTGACGTCATGACGCAGCAGCGGCTGCACCAGGCGGTGTGAACAGAGCGGGAGCAGAAAAGGGAAACCGGAGCTGAACCAGAAAAGCTCTAGCAGGTTAAAAAAAGACAGTTTGTGTAACCCGTAATTTCTCCGGGAATAAATATAAAGTAACCCCGAAAAGGGGAACATAAATCCGAAACGACACGTACAGTTCGCAGACGGTTTCCTATTTTAGGGTTTCAAGGGAGGTCTACCTCAATAATTGTGAGGTACGCAAGACATACCGATCTCGGAGGTTGTGTAACAATGCCACTATCCCGTTTCCCCCGCCGCCTGATTGGTTAGTCTCGGGTCTACGCGCGAAGACCAAAGTCTGTCGTCGCCACCGTTTTCTCGCCAACGACGTCGTGTCCGCCATATCGTATCTGAAAAGGTGTCCCTTGTATTTGTGTTGTTACCACCATAAAAGTGTTTGTAAGCTCTCTGTCGAAACACTTCTGTGCCCCACTGGACGGTCCACCTCCACCGCCTCGACAGTTCTGCGGCGTACCGTAGTAAAGACCCAGTACTTCGCGCGTAAGTTCTTCCTTCTATTGTACAACGCACAAAAATATGATTCTTTGTTGTAGGAAGAGTAACCGCACCCACAGAACGTCCGGAGGCCACCGCGAAGAGGCCCTGGGGTTGAAGTTTCGAGAACCCGAATCACGAGGTAGGCCCCCGAACGACCCCGACGCTGGAGGTCCCAACGACCTTTCTGGGACGACAGTTTCCACTTGAGGGGGGGTGTGTGTGTAATGTAATGTAGACATAAAATCGAAAGAAGGTTTCGTTGAATGATATTCACCGCAATGTGCTAATGTTTGAACGTTCTTTTGACTGTAGTATAGGTTCATGTAGTCCAAAGTTTCTCGGTTTTGTAAACTTCACTATGAGTTGACCGAATCTATTCGTCAGGAAACCTATCATATAGCGTCACGATCACGTCGCCTCCGCAAACCGGCTACGTCTCGCCCTCACGTGCACGACCCCACATGTTAAATTGGTACAGGATCTACATCCTTCCCGGTCTAGGTAATGTCGTACCATGCGTTCATGGTCCACAGAACACTCACCTAAGATCCGTCAAATGGGCCTTCGTCACTTCCCTCGCATCCTCGCCGCACCACACCCTCTACATCCTTCGCAACTTCTGGTCTGCTCGGCGACGTAAGACCTCTCGACGTCCCCAGCCTACCCCGTGTACGTCATCTGGTCGGTCCTCCCTCAACGTCATCAGATCCGCCACTCTACTGCTCTCGGACCTGGTCTTGGACGCAACGAAAGATAACCAGTCCACCCCTGCATAGAAGGACTACAACATTTCTCACATAGACGTCGTCACCTAATCATCGTCCGTTACAACGTCACCTTCCTGTCAAACAATAAGATCCCAGTGTGGGTCTAAGGAACGTCAGACTCAGCCCTTTGTTGTCTCCCCGGTCCGCTACAACTAACCAATCCAGTTCTCACCCCTGTTAGAAAAGGGCCTTCTTTTCACAAAGTCAGAACAGTTCCAACTAGAACTCCACCACTCGTCTGTAGGTGACTCTCTACAGTCGCTTCTGTTCGTCCTCTACGCAATCTAGCTCCCCAAGGGTTGTCACCCCCCCCCAGCGCTCTACTATGTTTTATTATTATCAAACCCTTTGGGGACGCAATCTACTGGCCCAGAGACTCGCCCCTTTCCTGTCTTAATTAACCCACAGCAGTCCGCATCGTCACCAATACTTTTGGTACGCCGGATTTTACCCGTCCTAAGGCTCGCTCACAACACATGTCTCTTTTCTCCTCCCTTGGGTTCTTGTCTCGGGACTGTCTCCTCTCCCTCCGACGAAATCGTACCACGTCGAGGACTACGCCGAAAGTGGGTCGCGAAAAGGGAAA